TATGTAAAACCAGGCGTGAAAGGTCGGCTTCGTAAGGACAAGGCAGAATTGGAGTACTTTGTTGGTGCGTGTTGCCCGCCATAAACATGACTTGCTTTTTTTTAACGCTGAATGTACTAGGCACAAAAGCGTTGTGGGGTTTTGCTATGCGAGAAGGGTTGATACCTCCTCTTACCCCCTCTTTTCGAGGCCCAATAGCTGTCGGACGGCCTCCAATGGGAAAGCAGGCCGCGTATGCAGCTGCAAGGAAACGAGTGCCCTCGCCAACCCTCTTGTCTGGTGCAGTGGAAGATGACACGGTCACGGCGGGTACAGATCAAGGGGGCGGCGTGGAGAAACCTGTTACGGCGGATACAGAACAAGGGGACGCCGAGGAGGAGACTGTGCCGGCGGATACAGAACAAGGGGGCGCCGAGGAAGAGACTGTGGTGGCGGATACCGAACAAGTTGATGCCATGCAGCTAGCTGCGCCGGCAGATACGGAACCGACTGCGGCGGCAGATACAGAGCACGGTAATGACGTCGAAGGTAGTGTGACGGCTCCTACAGAACAAGGATGTGGCGAGGTTGCGACCAGCTGGACCGGTCTGGATGTGTTCGATTCTCCACACTTTATCGACGCGATGAGATCTGAAAGATTGTTTGGGCCTGTTGATGCGGACGATGTGAACATAGCTGACCATAGCCTGGCGCCTCCAGAAGACGTTGAGTCTGTTAGAGATCCTCTCGATGCTCCTCGGGACCTATCCGAATTATACGAAAGCGAGGTGGAATCAGATGACGAGTTTGAAGACGACAGCAGCGAATTTGCACAAGATGATATTGCTATGCGCACGATGGCTGCTTCTGGTTGGGAGATCTATGATCAAAACCATTGTGGTAAGATAGCATCATACAGAGTACTTTCAGCTGCATCTTTATATGCTGTGCCTGGTAGTTTTTCTAATATGTTTGTAATTCTGTATAATCCGGAGTACAGGCGACCTACAGCTTGATGAAGCAACCGACTTATACAACGGAACGTGGGGGCCCACCAGGTCTGCCGCAGCCTTCGCCAGCTCGCCACTGGGTATGTTTTTCTACTTTCTCCCTAAGAAGTTGTGGTTTCACATTGCGAAGGAGTCCGAGGCGTATCGTATCGAGTGTATACCAAGTGTCGCTGCCGCCCAGCGTGCTAAGCAGCTCGAGGCTAGCGCAAAGGACCCCACGAAGACAGTACAACCAGTAGAAGCATTGGTGGAGAAGCTGACGAAGACAAGATCCATAAAGGCTCACGAAATTTTGCACGTGGTGGGTCTGCTGATAGCGCGGTCGCTGTGCAGTCACACGGATGGCCTCGACAAGCACTGGCGGACACAGGAGGATGGAGCGATACCCCGAGGAACGTTCAGCAGATAACATGTCTCGGGATCGTTTTAGTACCATCATGAGATACCTTCACTTTCAGAGCTCAGCCGTGGGCGCTGCTACGATTGACAAGGCTTGGAAGGTGCAACCTGTATTGCAGACACTGGAGAAGACGTTTCGCCGAGGGTATCGACTTGGAGCGCGCATAAGCTTCGACGAGGGGACCATTCCTAACCGAAGTAAGTTCAATCCGGTGCGCGTCTACAACAAGGACAAACCGCACAAGTACGGGACGAAGGTGTACATGACCTGCTGTGCGGAATCCGGGTATTGTTCTCGGTGCGTATTCTCTTTTTACTCTGTACGATACAGCATTGGCTACGCTGATTAGCTTGTTCCGGATGGTACAGAATGGCATGTTCTGTCGGACACGGAGTTAGCTGACTATTGTGCTTGGTGTTCTGTATGCCTCAGCATTGAAGTGTACATGGGTGCCTCGGACGAGTCGAAGAACGCGCAGACTCCTGCAGAGCGAAAAGTAGCCAAGTATAAAGCGAAGGGAGTCGCGCAGAAAGCTGTCATTCGCAACGTCTGCAAAGCTCTGGATGGGCAGCAGGGAAAACGTCTTATAATTGCGGATAACTTCTACTCATCGTGCGCACTCGCGATCGCGCTGATGGAGAAAGGGTATTACTACGTCGGGACACACCGAAGCGCCGTCTTGGGTGGCCAGCTGGATTCGCGCTCACACAGAAAAAGCGGCCCGTGTCGATGCCCCGAGGAACTTATCGTATTGCCCAGTCGAAGGATCACCCTGACCTGGTTACTGTGTCTTGGATGGACTCAAAACCTGTGAATCTAATTGCTACCGGTTGTGCAAGCACGGCTACCACCGTCACCAGAAAGGAGAAGGGATCCGCGATATCTCAAGTGGTGCCATGTCCTAAGTTACTTGCCAATTATCATAGTGGAATGGGGGGCGTTGACCGGCACGACCAGTTACGTCTCCAGAGGTATTCAATCCAGCGATGCGTTGCCTTCAAGAAGTATTACCGGCAGCTCTTTCTCGGGTTCGTCGACATGGCCATCGTGAACGGCTCCATCGTGCATAAGATAAAAATGCGAAAAGATGGCAAACCAGTACCAAGTCATGCAGAGTACATGCGTCTCTTACATGTCGAGTTATTAGCACTCACCGCAACAAGTTTGGCTAGTAATAAGCAAGCAGAAGACTTGGCCTCGATCCCACTGCCTCGACCCGAGCACCAACTACAAGAGCAAGAGAGAAAATACAAGGACAAGCGACGTCAGCACCTATGCAAGGTTTGTTCTGCTATGGCTCCACCAAAAACCAAAGTATTTGAGAGCCGTTTTTTTCTGCGAGGCCTGTGAGGAGCTGCACGATGGATATGTCCCCTCTGCAACTGCGTGCGCCGAAAAGAAGCAGGAAACCGACTCACATGCGATCAAATTTGGCATGACTCTTGGGCAAACGGCACTGCCATACCTGCTCACCTGAAGAAGAATATTAGATTCCGTAAGCGTAAACGCAGCGAAGATGCATGAGAGCATACCGAGGTTAGCTAGCGAAGTATTAGTTTCTAATGCCGCATTGAAATAAATACCTCCTTCTCCCTGTCAGCAGTTCTATGCGTTCCCACACCAACATTTCGGCCAAGTTTTAGCTTAGTTCTTCTTCACTTCCGTCTAGTCTAGAACTGGCCGAAAAGTTGGTGTGGGAACGCGCCGACGCGCCGACAAACCTTTGGCGCGACCAGTCATTCTGGCGCCAAAACCGTTTTGCTATCGGATTCCGGGGGATACTGATAATCAAAGTTTTTTTTACAGACATCGTTCGCTGCACATTATTTCTAAGCCAATAAAAACAGAGATATCGTACAGATGGTGGGTACATTGCTGCATTTATGGCAACCAAAACATCAACTATGTCCCAATTCACAGCGTCTACGACACTGCGCATGCCGAACGGCTTGCAACGGATTAATTTTATCGAGCTAACAGCAATATGTTAATCAAGTCAAACAATTGTTCTGTATAATACAGAATAGAGTTCGGGCTACATGGTTTAACAAGGGCTTTTAAATAACACTTGAATCTTAAAAAATCGAAAAAATATTGAGTCCTAAATATATCGTCATTTCGATGGCCAATAAATAGAGATTTTTGGGCGACCACAACTTCCAGCATTCTGTAGCTTATTAATCTCAAGAGATAGAGGAGACACCCCTCTTTCGAGAGTGGCAAAATCGCGATTCATACTTAGGTTCGTAAGTATCATTTTGCTTGACGCTGTCACAAATTTTGTACTTTAAGCTGCTTACTTAAAATCAAAGCAAACATTTGAGTATTATACTCGGGAGTAGGCTACTCATACGGTAGGCTTGGATGGTCTGCAAGGCAGTCTCAATGAACTCACGGAAGATCAAAATTACGTTAAAGTATTGCCCATTGACACCCAGAATTCCGTATCGGTTTGTGATATGTGCATCCCGTTGGGTGCGACAAGGGTAGAGGAAACCTACGCGACTACGATATCGCGGCAACGACAAGGACACCTAAATTAATTTCGTGTGCTCTTATTGGCCTAGACGTGCTCGGGTTATTGCTCCGTGTCTGAGGCGAGTACCGTTCGGATACAAAGTGTTAAAAGGTTTGCTGCCGTCGTGCTTTAAAGAAAATAGGTAAAACTTCGCTGGTACTTCCATTTTGCATCGCAATCGCTCCATGCAGAAGTTATGAAGCTTTTGTGCTGCTATGGCTCGCGGAGTGTTCTTGCTTTTAACTTTAATGCTTACTTCCCAATTTACCTACAAGTGTTCAAGTCAATTAGGGAACAAAACAAGTCAATGTGACCTTTTCCGAGCAGGTATGCATAAGTTTGGCGCAGCAGCCAAACTTATGGATCATTTCATCACCACCAAGTACGATACAAATAAAGAATAAACTCCACATGCCAGAACGCCCAAGCCGAAGATTGTGCCCCAGGTTTGAGATAATGAACACGCTTATGATTGTCGTGGCCATGGGCCAAGGGAATTTTGGTCGCCACTCAGGCTGAAAAGTGCCCGGTCATGTGCTCCCGTGAGATTGTGGTTCAGTCACCTACGAAAACGAGTGTCTGCTGGAAGTCGTTCACTGCTAGAATCGGAGAGTCACACTGAAGAACAAGGGCAGATGCTTCAAGCGAAGAAGGTAAGTTGGTAAAAAAAATAGTCTGTACGTACTTGTATTCGACAACTTGCTCGACTGTTTTTAAAGAGCTGATCGACAGTGTTTGCCTGATACTCCCGGTAAGGAGTGGAAACATCGAAATGAATAACGAGGTGGCTTGGCAGATTGTTTTAGCACTTAAGAACTGCAGCAAACCAAAAGCCTGACACACTCGCATGTAAATTCACAATTGAACGTATCCTTACAATCACTCCGAGTGGCGCAGCAACGCCGCTGTGCTCAATGCAACCACCCCACCTCTACAGATACACTAGACCTTCTTCTTCAGTGTCAATGGTGGTGTCTTCACGACTCAAGAATCTTTATAGAATGAAACGCGCATCTGTCTGAAAATTATACAAAAAAGAGAGCGGATTGATGATCACGATAGCCTCATGCCCACGGCCCGTCGGTATACTCGCTTAGTGTTTCTTAATGCACTTGCCGTCGTGCAGCTTGGTGATGGTTGAGTTCTCGCAATGTGCAAAGTCCAGCAGGCAGTCGTTGCCGTACGTTGCGCCATCTGATCCGCAAACGGGCATCAAGTCGCGCTGGCAATTGTCGTCGCATTCCTCTGCGTTCCGTTTCTTGGTCACCGTCACGTGCAGCATGGCCTCGTCCGCCTCCGCGTACGCCCATACGCCTGTGAGCGCAAGCGCCACCATCGCAAGTATCGCCGTCATGTTCATTGTTATCTGTATGTTTTTCCTTTTCGTCAAAACTGAACTGACTTTCGAGATTGGCATGTACAGATGTACCGGTACTCAATACCGGTTCTTTTATTTAAAATTAATGAATTTAAAATTCATTTAGGTGTCGAAATAACTGTTTAAATGGGTGGAGAAACTGCATTACGTTAGCTGGAAATATGAGCGACACACGCGGCCACTGCTCCTATGAGTTGAGCTGGTGCAATTGCATAAACTTCGTCTGCTACTCCAGCACCGCAGAGGAGATAATCTTCTGCCTGAAGACAGCTGTCTAAGATAATTTGTGTGGTCTGCTGCTCTCGCAAGCCAATCGGTCCCAAACACCCTCGCGAATAGCCAAACACTCGCACGAGCGTCTGCAGAGAGCGCAAAACAAGCATCGAACGGATTAGCCAAGAAACAAACAGTACTTCTGTCATGACCAAATAAACACGACGCACCTCTTGATCAGCTAGCGAAATGCCGTCCGAGTCTGCTTCAAGAAGATCTCCTAGGGCCTGCATATCGATGGATCGATCCAGTGCCAACACTGCCACCACGTACTTGATGCGGCTCAATGCTTTGGCTTCTTTTCCCTTCCGAGCGAGCAACGCAATGGTCTTGACGACTTTTCCCTCCAGTTCACTCTTCTCGTATTTTAGAAACCGAGGCTCTAATCCGCATGCTTGCAGCGCAGCTTTGACGTGCTGTTTTCCAAGCGGTCGTGACACTGAAGCCATCGTCCACGAATGTGAAGAGCTGCGGCTGGCATCGAAGCGCTTCATAAAATGCTGGGCGCACTCACTCGCGGAGCAAATTTCAGCGTTCGGCTTGACAAAATTAACGTCCACAAGCAGGTGCAGTGAAAGACGTTGAACAGCGTATGCATCTTTAGCCGCGTAGTCGAGTTGGCTAGTAGACAGAGGGCGGTTACCCCAGTCGGAGCACTGTTGTTCTTTGTTCACCTTCTCGTCCAGGCACTCACGATACAGCCGTGATAGCCCCCAGTGTTCAGCCGGAATGTGTCGAAACAAAGCAAGCTGTTTCAGCTCCACTATCAGAGGCCTAGGTCGGTGCGTGGTCTCGCTGCTTCGCTCGTCAAAATGTCCCTTCAGTTCCGGGAATGAATTCTTTATCCTCTCAATGTCGCTGGAAACACAAAACCCGATCAAGATGAGCGGAGATGAGGGCCGCCAGATATACGTTAAGGGGGCTGCCGCTGCCGCCCCAAGAACCTGAACATCCACCACGTAAACGGCATCTCCAACCGCGAGTTGGTAAATGCTTAAGCCTTCCTGCTTTTCGTCGCTTGGGTGGGAGCTACGTTTCTCTGCATTCTCAACATTTGAGGTCGACGGTTGCTCTTTCATCAAGAACTGTGGCCTCCATTCGCAGTCGATCCCAACAAGCATGTTCCGAGCAACGGCCTGTTCATCGCATTCATCTTCAGCGCGGAGGATAGTCGTCTCTTGACACTTCAGATGCGCAACGACTTCTTCAATTTCTTCGACACAATCAACGTATTTCCACTTGAATCCAGGCGTATTCATCTCATTCAGAGATCGGTTCTTCGCATGGTCGATTGGGTGCCCAAGCATGTGAGAAAAGTTGCAATTCTTTGCCACGGGCCCAGTGTTTTGCTCCGAGGCTGGCAGAACAGAGATACCAGTGCCAGTACTCTGAAATCCAGCAGCAATCTTTTGCAACCGCTTTAGAGCCTTCGTCATGTTCAATAGTGACAGATATTTAAAAAGTGCCTGGACCATACTGAGGTCCTGCACCACAACGGCAAGGCGCTCTGCATTTTGCCAATCGTGCTGTTCAATGAAGTCGTTAAAAGTGCTGTGAATGTGATGCTCACCTGCTGTGGCTTTGTCCATACGAAACACACGAATCGCTTCAACCACAACAGAATTCCACCGAGGATTACGAGCAGCACGCAGCTTGTCGAGGAAGCTGAACTTGCTGCTCTTTTCTGGCTCGTCCCCCTGCATTTGGTCATCAGTATTAACACTCAGGTCGATCGTTCGTAGTACGAGATGGAGGAACTCCCACCGGTCGGGATCACAGGCAACTTCAGCGAGAAGTGAAACCCAGTTCAAGCATTCCTGAGGTGAGATTTTGGCCCGTTTATCCACCCCAAACTCACGCTTCAGCCCGTCATAGACGTCCAGCAGCATGTATCCTATCCGGCGGGTATGCTTCGATTCGTCGTCTCCATTGACGCCAAACACGAGAAACTCGAGACATGAGCGGAGGTATGAGATCTCATCGCCCACGCCGCCACAATTCAGTTTTCTCCAGAGCAAAAATTCCCTTGTCGACCTCTTCAAGTCAGCGTGGGTAAATACAACGCCATCAGCGCTTAACGCCGTCAAAAGCTGCAGACAAAGTTCACGAGGGCCAACACTAGCAGGATCAGAAAACTGGTGTCTTGTCTCCTCCTGTGCTGCTGCCTCATTCACGTCTGGCTTGATAAAACCCTCGTCAGCGCTGTCAGTGCGACGTGCTCCATATTCGCGCTCTCCAGCTCCAGTTGCATCGTTCCGTCGAAGAGTACGTTTGAAACGAACAGGTTCATGGCACAGTGGCGACGGATCCCAACACTTGGGGTCAAGAATGAACCCTCGAGAGAGCTCGTTCCAGAGCTGAACGCCATCTTGAACCTCCTCTGGGCAGCGCACAACTTCCGCCACTAGCAACGGCATCGCTACCCCGCCATTTTTATTCGTCTTGGTCGATGGACTTCCTTTCTGGAAATGTTCCCGTACAAACGCCATCAATGCTTCAAGCGTCAGTGCTTCCGCTTCTGGGATATCCAACCTGTTATCACTCTTAACAACAACCTGGCCGGATGTTTTGTCCTCCACAGCAACTACAGGACACAACCAGTGCAGCTTGGGCAGGATCACAAAGCGACTCTCGCCTATCGTTGTCTGGTTATTCGCTCGCACTTTTGCAGGCAAGTCCGTTTCCATGTCGGTGGTCCACCATCCTCGCAAGTGGTCAGTTGCAACGCTCGGATTCAAACACGTCTTCTGTGTGGTAGAAACTCTTGCAGGATTCCGATGGAAACACCAATCGTGAGCTATGGAAGTCTCCCATGTCGAGACAAAATGACTTAGCGGCTCAAACAGGTATCCACGCAGGACGATGTGTGACTGCACACTGTCACTGTAATTCTCCTCCAGCCACGTGCGTACACTTTCACCTTGACGCATGGCCAACTTCCGATCCACTTCCTGCACTCGCCACGCCAGATTTTCGCCAAGATGGGGCCCAACATATTGCTCCAGCGGAACGTACTTAAAGTTAATATTTTCTTTGTCTGCATCATTAGCATCGTACGTCTCACCCCTTGTGTCACTGTGAACAGGATTGAGCAAGAAGAATTTGACCGACGACTCGACGTGGAAGTCTCGCAGCTTTCCACCCTTCTGAAAATTGCATCGAAACAGAAACTTCAGCTGCCCCACCGTTCGGTTCGTGGACGATACGATCTGTCTACCAATCTCCATCTTCTCCGTGCTGAGGTGAGGACAGAAGCGCAGCCAAAACTCAAGTAGAGTCGAGAAGTAGACTCCGAGCGCCAATGATCGACCGTTTGACGTATTGTCTGCATACATTTGTGCCCTTACAATTATCATCTCAATCCACAACAAATCCACGGTTCTCGTTTACCTTGTAGAAATGCCAACAGCGGCGCTGGGTCGTCCACCAAAGCGTTCAGCCAATCGATAACCGCATCGAAGTTCAATGCTTCGACACCAAATTCCGCAGGTAAAACTGGAAACCGATCGCCGCTGAGTATGTGCGGACTTGTGACGGTCCATAACAAATCACGAACCACCTTGGGCATGCGCGAAGCACTTGAGAGGCGGGGGCACTCATCATTGGGGGCCATGTCTACCGCTGTGTAATGCGGATGATGATTGGTCAAAACTTCTTATCCTGTAAAGTACAGCATAGTACCTTTAGACGAACAAAACTCCAAATCACAAAAAAAAAAAGGGCAGATGCTACTGTCCATGCGCCGACTGTATGCTTTTACCATGCAGCCACGCCAGGTGTTGTCCATAAATTACGTTCTGCGTAATTTATATCCATACTGAAATCAAGTATTTACCGCCGATCAGTTTTTCACCGCATCAAGTTGCTGCTAAGTTGCATTGTCAATTTTGTAGTCCATGTATTGAGTCCACGTATAATCCATAAATCACCCGTGCATTAGGCATGAACACGAGCACAGGTAACGTTAGTATTATAGTCCATGTATCGAGTCCATGCATTGGTCAGATATTCTCCGTGTATTTAGACCCAAATTAGATGGGTTAGTTAGATCTACCATGGAGCACTAGCTGAAGCATGTGAAAGCGCAATATCGTGAGACCTTTTGGAGTTACATCCAGCGCAATGCCATTGTCTACCATTCGCCAGAGTCGTAGCATTACGAAGAAACCACAGTTGTGGCCGTCCGTCTGAATTGGCGCGTTGATGGATACAACCTCATAGTCGTCGCTCAGCCAAATCCCAGGACAGTCGATCCAGCACGGTCTTGTAAGTCCTCTGGTTCATGGAGTCATAATAAAGGACTCGAGTTCGCTTCACATCTACTGCAATTCCGCACCAGTGCAAATTTCCAACGTTAACCGGGATCATAAGGAGGTCTGCCTCTCCCACCAGCTCTTGCGCTTTTTTCTTGAGAACGATAAAGCAGGACCGTTAAGGATCGGACGTCCACGTTTGGACTGGTCTGCTTCGGCTGCTTCTGCGATCTGATCTTCTAAGGTTTTTCTTTTGTTGCGCCGGCTGCGGTTGAACAACTTCCTCTTGCCAGGTTGGTCAGTACCAAACCTTGTATAAAAGGCGAAGAGAAGATGTACACACTGGCCTTTGTGGAAAAAGTATTTACACGGGCAAGTGCGAGTAGTTAGATCCACTGACCATCCTTCCTCCGGCTGTTCATCTCTTTCCATTCTAGCCGCATTAGCACCAAGTTGCACAGCCACATCCACAACTTCCATCGACTTCCTCTTCGGCTTCACGTAGATTCGAGGTGTAGCTTTAGAAACGACAAGTACAAAATTGCTGGAGCCGTCGAAGGATGGAGTCTCTACGAGCAGTTGCTGTCGGCGCAAAGCTGTCGCGCGCCGTCGAAGCCTGCTGCTAGCGGTAGATGTTTCATGGAATGCAGCACCCGACACGCTCTCCATTCGACAACAAACTTGAAGTTGACCAAGCAAAGACCCCATTAGCATTCGCTCTCGTAAAGTGTAGGTTTTCTTCAGCTTGGCATTGAACGTTTCCACGGGATTATTTGTAGTTGCCCAACCAACAGGCGTACGGAAGCACTGCCATTTCACAAACTTTCCCGTCAGCCACTGCTGCAGAAAATACTCTCCAAATCGCTCGACATCTGGGTCGGCAAGCCACCGCCGCACTGCAGACGTCTTTTTAGCATGAAATTCCGACGCGTTTCTTGCGTAATGCATATCAAATATATCGGCCAAGACCAGGCTACGCTTACCGGGTAGTAGATACCTCGTCCGCTCATGAACTTTTGCGATAACGTGGTAAAAGCACATCAAAATCTCTGTTTCACAATCCTCGAACACTAAAGCCATCGCATTGTACTGGGCTCCGTCGGCGTCTCCAGGAATGTAGTGCACTACCATCGGCTTCCGCAAAAATCGAGCGTAGATAGCTCGGAGGGATGCAAGCACACTCGCGTAGTGACGCTCTTCTTGTTGTGACACGACGAACAAAGCAACCAAGTGAAAGGAACGAGAATGGTCAGAAATTCCACAGACAAAGGTAGGATAATCCACTTGGTTCAACTTGTAGGTCGCATCAAAATGCAAAATGAAACTGTGCGGATCACGGTCGAGTCGTTTGAAGAGTGTCTTCGTGGTGAAGCCGACAAAAAATGTGCCAGTGTCGATTCCTTCACCAATATTGATGTCTCCATTACAATTCATGTTGCTCGAAAACGAAAATGCAGAGCTTTCTTCTTCTAGCCCAGTGTAGGCTTTTGCTCTGATAGCTTCCTCCAGAATATCCAAGTCGTCCGTATTGTTCAATTCAGTCTTGCGGCAATACGTAACAAAACTTTGCACCTTGCTGAGATGCGGAATTTTTTCCGCAGAGGCACCAACAGCCAGCGCGTTTCAAATTCGAGCAGGTTTCAGACCGTTAACAGCTAGTTGGCGCGCCGTTCTCTTTTGTTCCAACGTCAGGCTGCCAGTAGGAGGATCATTTCCTTTCACTTCGTGTAAACCAAGCTCGTAAATATTCACTATGCCGCATTTGCAGCATACAAGCGTCTTGCATTTCCAACGACACCTTAAAGGTGCGACACACGCATCCGCACACGTAGCTGAAGAACACGAGAAGACCCGGTATCGCATTGTGTGAGGTGATGGATCCGTACACACGGCACATATCGATGTGTTGCTGACAGTGACTTTGTGTTTCTTCGCGTGCTTCATGTTTTCCACAATACGCTCGCTTTCCACCTCCGACACCTGCCGATACAGCATAGCCCACGGGAGTGGCTTTCCCATTTGTTAAAGCGGCTGTGTCGGATACATTGTTAGCAATCAAGCAAACAAAATACAATAATTAGGTAGTTTTAGCGTCCGTACGGTAGGTAGAGGATTTCGTCTAGCTACTCACTATGGGCTTACGAGTGCTGCGCGTAGAGAGCAAGGGGAGTCAGGTGGCGTTGTCGGTGGCTGGTCTCGACGTTTCCTACCGCAGATTTTGATTGGATGCGTGTCGGCCAATCTCCGGAGGTTTGTAATCGGTCACTGGTTGGCTAAAATTTAGTTTGTTTGATTACCTGACATTTGGTGGATTGATTGATCTTCTAGTGGATGTCAATTCAGCTATGGATTAGTATAGTGTGTTATTTACTGGGCTCACAGATCTGTGGATTAATAGTATCTCTGTGGATTGACCTCATAGTACTGTGGACATTTTACGCGTCCTCGAAGCTATTCAGCCCATGTCTCTCATTCGTCGAGAACCAATTTTCTTGTTTTGTCCAATAGTAAGCCACTTCACAAAGTATCTTTCGCTACACCATTTCCATTTCAACCTCCCTGTTCAGAGAATGAGCGCCGCCAAAAAGTCCGTCATCGAGCTGCGCCACCCGTCGGGTTCACGTGCCGAGGTGCATCTGTACGGCGCGACAGTCACTTCTTTCTACGCGGCACAGGAGCCTGAGCGTAATGTGCTTTTCCTGTCGTCAAAGGCGCTGCTAGACGGCAGCAAACCAATCCGCGGCGGAATTCCGCTTGTGTTCCCTGTCTTTGGCGCCGCTGAGGGATTCCCCAACCACGGCTTCGCTCGTGTCAATAACTGGAAATTGAGCCAGCTGGATCAGACCGTGGGCGACGACAACAGCCCCACAGTCGCCACTTTTGCGCTTGATATCTCGTCGGAGATGAAGGCCATGTACCCGCACGACTTTGGACTCGTGTATGAGGTCAAACTCTTCGCAAATGCGCTCGCTACAGCTATCCACATCCAGAACAAATCGGAGAGCGAGATCGCCTTCCAGGCGCTACTTCATACGTATTTGTCGGCGGACGATGTGCGTGACGGAGGCGTCGTGGTCGAGGGCCTCAAGGGCCTCACGTACCACGACAAGGTCGCGGGCCAGGAAAAGAGTGAGGAGCGCGACGTGTTGACCTTCGACCAGGAGACGGATAGTGTCTACGCTAACGCCCCGTCACCCGTCATTGTGCGCATCAAGCGCGCAGTCGGCCAGGAACAAGTCGTGACCATTGAGAAGGAGGCATTCATTAAGAGCGGCGCCACACACACGGCACAGCAAAGCGACGTGGTCGTGTGGAACCCGTGGATCGACAAGGCCAAGGGAATGAGCGACTTTGGAGATGACGAGTACCCCACCATGCTCTGCGTCGAGCCTGGTCGCGTCAGCGAACAGCAGAAACTTCCGGCTGGACAAACCTTCACGCTGCAGCAGGCCATCAAGCTGTCAGCACTGTAGCTGATGACTTGTGTGATGAGACAGCACACAAGTAGCACACGATGACAGCAGACCAAATTGGAGTTGACAGTCGACTCCCGGATACCGCTTTGTGGAGTTCTTGGCCAACTTAATATTTGAACTTAAGTGGTAATTTCGGTGTGACCCTGTCTCCATCTTCTCTCCAACGCAACGCTGTTTATAGAGCGAAACTCTTGAACTGCTCAGCATTTATACTTAAAGACCTCATTGCATTGGTTGCCTTAGGTGCCGAAGAAGCAGACGATTGTAGGCTCGAAAGCCCATGGCGGTGGTGGATCTCGACGCTATCGGCGTGTAGCGCACACGCACCAGATGGTCGATACGCTTTGTGGGCGAGAAGAATCAACTGGCGAAGAACCGCAAGAATGATCGCACGCTTCACGCTGGAAGGTACGTACCCCCATTATAAAATGCAGAGAAGAGAAGAGACCACTTACGATTTCTTCCCAGCTGACAAGCAGGAAATCTTGCGCCTTGCTCGAGTGCTGAAGGACCAGATGCACGACAGTATATAGCTGATGAAGATCCTTGGTACTCGTGCCTTCACGATCCGAGACCAGTGGCTAAAGGTGAAGAGCGAGCTGGAAGAAGAACACCACGCGTACGACGAGAAAATGAAGACTTTGATGGAGATCGAGCGTCTTGAAAGTCTCAAACGACAAGAACACCGCGATAAAATCAAGAAGCTGAAACGATACGCAGATCGCAAAATCCTCGAAGATCAAATCGAAGATCGTCGTCGAGAGGAGGAGGAGGCGCCGAGACGACATGAAGCGGAGCTTCGTTGTGCCAAGTTGCGCTCGATGCAGGAGACAATGGCCAACAAGAAGGCAGAACTGGGCGAGTTGCGAGTCAAACGAGCTGCTGAAGCGCGGGAACGACAGGCGCACGAAGCTGACATGGCCTTGGCCAGGAAGCATAAAGAGGAGATGGAGGAACTGCGGCGAGCTCGTGAAGCTCAGGCGCTGCATCGTGAGCGTGCTCGTGTTAAAGAGGCGACGATGCAGCAACGCGAGTACGACTCGATCATGGTGCAGGTCGAGTCGGACAAGACTCGAGTCAAGGAGGAAGACGAGAAACGCAAGTTGGCAAGTATGGCCCATCGTCGCGTGCTGCAGTCTCAAATCGAAGAGAAGGAACGCTTGAAAAAGCTCTCGTTTATCAAGAAACAGAAAAAAGTTCAAGCATTCAAGGAGGAATATGCAAAAGAGTTGGAGAAGTTGGAGAGGATTCGGATGGAGGAGGGTGGAGAGCTGGTCGAAGCTGGTGTGAATCCGCTGTACTTGTCTGAGATGAAGGCTCTCGTCATTGAGAAGCAGATTCGGTAGACAACACTTTACCTAGTACTTTCACATTACTGTACTTCATTCTCTAGGACTCACCACAGCGTACGAATGTAGCGACCTCTGAATCAAATACTACTCCTCACGTCCTGGTCATCTATCGGTGAGCAAAGAAAATCGTGCAGACAAACAGCCCTGGCAATATACCTACTTTTGTAAAACAATGGGAACAACGAGAGAACCAGAACGAATGAAGGCTGAGAATGCTGAACAGTTCAAGAGATATACCAGTATACCTGAAAGTATGGATACCAGTGATACTCCCAAACGATTTTGCAAATTCTGCGTTTCATTTGGCTGGTCTACACTTTCATGGCTACATTACGTCATCAAGTCAGAACCGGGCTTCCATTTACCGTTAAGCAATAAGCAATACCACCAACGTCGCTAAGAGCAGCAGCCGCGCGGAAGCAAACGCAGACGCTCAACTACAAACGAGGGACATCGCAAGAAGCCGAGGGAGATTGAGGAAGCTTCAAGCGACATGATGCTTCCCGAGTTTTTGCTCGTGCTCGCGGAGACAGAGGACAAGATTAAGGAGCTGTATCGGGTCACATAAATCGTCTTGGAGGAGATGGAGCTTCATCCTGACATGATGGAGGAGCTGCTGCTCGTTCTGCAGCAGGCGACACGATTGCTGGGCCATGAGAAACAGGTCCTGGAGATTGCGCGCAGCGCCTTGACCAAGTGACAAGATTATTTAGAGTTTGACTTTACTCGGGCGAACAATAAAAACATTACCTTTTTCTTTTGAAGTTAATTTTCAGCATATCCTCGTGTTGCAAAAGACGTTTCATCATTGTTGCGTAAAAGTTTTGAAACGAAACAGCTACGAAACTCATCATCGCGTTCTGAAGGCCACTTTTTCCTCAAACTCTAACGTGTATGAAACTGCCGGATAAGTCACGCTAGCTGTAGTTTTTCACATTACGAAAAAAATGACATATACCGTTTGTTCGTGTTTGTTTTGGTGGCATGTTATGTTTTGTGCACCTCTTGAAAGCCTTAATTTAGTTTGAGCTGAACAGCGAGATGCCATCTAGAATCTAAGCTCAAGCTACAAGTTTTTGTCAGCGTTTTTTTAAGAAATGGCTCAAGCCTACGCCGTCGCTACAGCTCGCGGAGACACGCTCGCCACGCAGCGGTGCGACCTGCTATCTCCAGAGAACGAGTACCTAGGTATGCACCTCTTGCCACACTCATTCCCACCGCTTCTTCGAGCTCCAATGACGATTCCACCTGTCTTCTGCTCCAGACCCCAACCCAGACCTGCACTCGCTCTTTGCAGTACGCGTCAGACCCGCTCGTTCCGTGTGAGTTTGTGCATAATATCTAACAGTAAGCGTACTTTATGCAGGAGTACAACCGCATGTTCTTCGAGGGTCGATTAGCCGGCTGTGAGGTCAAATGGAGCAAGCGAATGACGCTCTGGTACGTTGAGGTTTTCTACGAAGAATTCCAATAGAAAGTTTGTATTCTTCACTAAGTGTTTCAGTGCTGCAGTGCTGGACTGTGCAGCTTTCAGCCTCTCAGCAGCTTCTGTTCCATTCGGTTGAGGTACATTGACGTTCTGTAGCTTCGAAGCTGTGAGGTACCAATTTACTCCTCCTCTGTGCTTTTCAGTGAACCATTGCTAAAGCTTCGACCACGCAGCGATATGGTCAACACTCTACTGGTGCGAGACTATGCTCAAGTATCTGATGTAACTTGCACAACCGGACTTTGACGTCGTCTTTGTTGAGCAGCACGAGATGATCCACGCGTACGTGTTCGTAGCGACGCCCGTGCGCGACCACGACGACCACGGGCCGCTGTTTCAAGCTCACATGAATCGGATCAACGAAGCTGCGAAGACCAAGATCACGGTCTTCCACACTTTCCTCGACGAGGTGAACTCGTATCGACAGCACATCTGGCAGTGCAATGTGAGTGTGTTTAGAGGCAGTATCCTACAAAATGGCCCTTGTAGCTGAACTACAGATGCTACCGCTGTCGTTTCTGTGCTGCAGGGTCCGTGTCGACACACTCGGCCGTACTTTGGTCTCGTCAAGAGGTCGATGAACCGAGCTCCTGGGCCAACAGATCGCTGGTGGGCGGACCACGAACGACGTTGCGGCGGGAGCTACACCAAGATCAAGGAGCCTGCGGCGTTCACGGCCAAACAAGCGAAGAAGAGGGAGCAAGAGCTGGCTCGGGAGGAAAAGCAGAAGAAGAAAGCTGAGGACGCAAAAGCTGCACCGAGTGTGAAGTCGTTCTTCCCAAGGATGAACGAGGACAGCGACGCCAAGACAAGTAAAGCGGAACAGTCTACGCGTGTTGAAACGAAGCCTCCTCGTGCTCGAAAGAAGACTCCACCACAATCTGGAACTGTGAAGCGGAAGAAAGAACACGACGGCGACGCCAAGAGCTCAGACTGGCCGACGCTTGCGTTCCCCTCCTCAGCTTCTGCTGTGTACTCTGCAGATGGAGATGAAGACGGATACTTTTTAGTGGGGGACATCCAAGCACTCTTTCAGACTCCCCCGACACAGCAGTTTAGTCCCCGTGGCCGTAAGAGAGATCGTCTGGAGGCATTCGACCAAGTTCAAGGTGACGACGCCACTAGAGCAAGCGCTTCAGGTTCTTGTGCTGTTGTAGACTTGACTGTGTCTGACAGTGACGGCGGTAGTGACAACGAGCAGCTGCAACAGGCCATCAAACTCTCACTGGCAAATGGCAGGTTGCCGAGAACAGGGACAGGAGAAGAGGACGTTGTTGAGATTGACTTACGTTAATTGCGATTACTTGGCGAGAATTCTTCCACGGCCTGCCGCGTCTCTAGGCTTCTGCTCTCCGACACGTCGCCGCCATTCCGCAAAATCTCGTCCCGTGGGACCGCTGTGTTATCATGACGAATGTCGTCATTCCTGGCGAGGGCTCTGTTGTTCAGGCGCTGTTTACAGTCTAGCAGCTGTGGCCCAGCATGCATGAAGCGCACCAGATGTGTGAACACCTTCAACGTTTGCTGAAACGCGTTCATGGCGAGATAAAGAACAGACGCAACGTGGCGGACTCTTTGTCACTGCAGTCCAAGTACGAAATTCGTGGCCGTTGTGACCACGTTTGTGAATTTTCTGAGGCTTTGCTCGCACAAGGAGCTGCTGCTGCGAGTGTGCAAGCACCGAGTCATGCTGAACGGGCTTCACCGCATCTATAAAGACGTGTGCGAGCTGGTTGAGGCGATGAGCGTTGCAGCTTCGACGAATTGGGCAGAGCTATGGACTGACGACATCCAAACGCAGGAGATTGTGCTGACTGCAACGGTGAGCGACTCGGCGATGGTTTTCAACGAGTTACAGGACGCGCAGTCTCAAGTCGAGGCCTTGCTAGTGCTCACGGTCGAGCTGGAGCAGCGAGAAGCTTGTCAAAGAGGAGAGAATGTCGACAATTAGAAGCTGATGATATGTACGATCACTAGGGGGTGGGGGGGGGCTTCTGTGGTCGTGAATCGAGTTCCGCCTTGGTTTCTCTCCCGATTTGAGCTGCAGGTTGAAGACAAACCTTTCGCTCGTGAGCCGATGGATTTGATGTATCGTGGTGTGTGGGGTGCAGGCAACAAGAGTGGCGTTGAAGCGCTATTCCGAGGTCGACTCGATGCAGATCAACGAACGTACCAGACAGAATATCGGGGCGGAGTTGGAGCAATGCTATAAACTGGTGCATCCAAACGTGGTGAGAATCTAAGGTGCATCACACGTGAGCTCTCCGCCTTTCATCATATGGGAAGACGAGGTGCATTTTGAGATGTCGGGAGCCAAGCTGAGTGACTACGGCTTGGCAACTCTACGGGCTAATGCTACACCTCTATCGAGTAATTTGCGGTGGAGTGCTCCTGAGTGTCTGCTTCAAAGAGCTACGGTCGCATCGGACGTGCATTCGTTTGCGATGTGTCTGATAGAGATAGAGACCGGCGAGCTGCCCTTCGCTTTCCTCGATGACGACGACGTCCGTCATAACCAAAGACACGACGAGATCCCGAACCGCCCCAGCAGCATGAGGGATGACGCGGCGGAACTGGTTCGATCCATGACGGACTCGGATTCTGGGAGACGCGTGTCGTTAGACCACGTCATTGCCGAGATGAAAAGATTGGCTGACCTGGCTGCTGCTGCCACGTGCAGTGTGTGCTTGTCCGAGATCGCGACTGACTCCCGGCTCTGTTCGCAATGCGGGACCCGGGTGGATAACACTGCGCGTATGAGCCCACGGCTTCGGAGCGTACGTGTAAACTTGCAAGCAGAAGACAATTCCGTAGCGGAGGTCCTGGATGCCGTGCGACGTGGTAGCTCAGATCAACAACAAGCGCTGATTCTGCTACTGGAAATATGTCTGGATGATACACAGCGCAGAGAGATCTACGAGACGGACGGAGTTGGTGATTTGGCTTCTGCGCCCAGTCGTCCTCACTTTGTTCAGATCTGTGCACTGTCGTGTTTACGCTGGATTTCAGTGATTAACTCGAGCTTTCCCACAGGAGAACTCAAAGCCCTCAAAGAATTCATTCGCGATGTCACTTCGGACGAATGCACATCGCTTGTGAATGACCTACGCAACGGAGGAGAAGAGGAGAAGCTGAAGGCGATCGTGTACTGCGCTGGAATCGCGGGGGCAAAAGCGAGTCAAAGTCTGCCAAACTCCGGTGTTGTGGCTGTACTTGCTCAAATGTTAACGGAAGTCAGCAACAGACGGACAGTGTGGGCAGTGGATGCGATCGCCAACTTGGCTGACAACGACGACGTCAGGGTCGCGATCGCCAACAAGGTCCTCTGATTGGGCTCTTGCACTCCGGATCAAACGTCCAAACTGGAGTAGCAGCCTATTTGCACTGGGTCGCTTAGCGTGCGATAACAAGACGAACAGTGTAGCCATTGAGACGGGCGATCTCGTATCTCGTCGAGCTGTTGGTTGCTGAAACAAATACCGAGAAGACGTTTGCTCCGTAAGCACTAAGCTGCCAGTGGGATATCAATCGGAAAGGAAGAGGGTACCGGTATTACTGGGCTGACTGGGCTGCTTCGAGACGGCAGCAACGCGTAGAAGGAGCGTGCAGCGGCCTCACTGGGCTGGTATTCCAAGAGCGAAGCAGATGCTTGGCTCATCGTGAAGCAGACGGCGATCCCGCTGCTTGTCGCGTCCACACAGTCCAGTTCCGAGGAGCTGAAGGCAAGCGCAACCGCCACGCTATCTAGTCTCGGTGCAGTTGAAAGCATCTGCCCTGTGCTCGCGAAAGAGGGGGCGATCGCACCTTTGACCAGGCTTCTTCGAACCGAGGATGAAGAGCAGAAGCGAAACGCCGCGAGTGCTCTGGCCAATGTTGCTGTAAACAATACAAGCAACTGCGAAGAAATAATGGACGAAGGAGGGATGGATCCCTTAGTGGAGATATTGCGAGGTGGAACTGGAAAAGTATTGGAAAATGCAGTATTCGTGGTAGGCAGTATTGCTGGCTGCAGTAAGCGCCACTGCAAGGCTGTCGAGAAGCTCGGAGTCGTTCCGCTTTTGGTGAAGATGCTGCACGATGGCGATTTGGAGCTGAAGGAGCATGCTGCGTTTGCGCTGGAAGGGCTTACAAGATCTAGCGAGACCGCCTTGGCAGCCACCTCGGACTTAATTGAGTTGCTCCGTGCTGTAAAAGAGTTTGGACGGGTTGCTGATGACATTGCCAGAAAGAAAATAACACGATGTGGCGGTGTGTCGGCTCTTCTGGGGCTTGTACAGTCCGACAGCGACGTGCTGAACGATGAAGCCGCGTTTGCTTTGACTTGCGTCACTTAGATCAAGCCCGTCAGAAACGTTATCAAGGAAGAAGGAGGCATTAAAGTGGTCAGAGCTCTTTGTCGCCGCGGAACGAGTTACCAGAAACGCATTGCAGCGGAAGTGTTATCCATTTTGGATAGAAGCTGCCACCCCATTAAGAAACGAGCGCGTCGTGGCAAGGCGAGAAAAGGAGACCTCGTGCAATGGTGAGAGGGAGTGTCTTAAGCGTGTAGGCGAGATTCTGCATGAAGTATCAGTAGCCAAATGGGAGTTTTACCAATCGAGATTGCTAATTTTTTGGTTGTGTCAACAAAGGCGACTGCTGCTCCGTGTGCGATTCCAGATCTCTGTAAAAGAAAAGAGAAAACGATACGGTTAGATGGATATCAGGCAAGTAAGTAGACACGAGACATACAGGATCTCCTCGATTTTGTCCCACTTGGTCGACGTTGTCCGCAGTTTGTCGACCGCTTCAGCAAGTCGATGACGCCGGATCATCGCCTCCGTTGCAGCTTGTTGTCGCGCCTTCAGCAACGCTTTCTTCCGCTCCTTGACTGCCTTTGATCGGGCATCTGCGGACGTGATCCGTCGCATTAATTGCTCCCGCGCATACGCTTCCATTCGTTGAATCCTCGCCACATTCTGCTCCTTCTGAGTGATCGCCAATTGGTGTTCAACTTGAGCGAGTAATCGACCCTTCTCTCGTTCTTGTTGTGTCGTCTCCATCTTCGTTTCTAGCTGCTCGCGCTTTGCCAGCAACTCGCTTACATGCTTTTGTCGTAATGCGTGTGCAGCGTCGAGTCTTTTTTGCCGAACTTGGTCTTCTTGTTTGGACTTTGCAGCTCGTTCTTTAAGATCGTTTGTCGTTTTCTTCTCAATCTCTCGTGCTCGATCCGCCGCTGCTGCTTGCTTAGCGGTCACCTCCTGCTTCTTACGCGCGATGGTCAATTCATTCTGATACGTGACGTTCTGGATACGCGACTTGGCTTTCTCTCTCCGCTCCTGCGCTTCGTGATGCCGCCGTTTGCTCGCATTCTCCATCTTCAACGCCACTTGTCGCTCTTTTTCCACCATTCTCCTTCGGTTTGCAGCCACTTGTTCCTCCTGCTGCCTCATTAATTCTTCAGTGTGTGCCTGCCAAGCATCGGCATTCTGCTGTCGCTCTAGATCGCGCTGTGCTGCTTCTAGCGCTCGTAGACGCGTCTTCTCTTTGGCCTCCTCCGCAAAGACTCGTTCACGTTCGGCTTCCGATCGTCTCCGAGCTTTGCGCTCTCGAGCTTCTTGATCTTCATCTCGTTTCTTTGTCAACTCCTTCTCGTGCTTGGCAGCTGCCAACTGCATCCTGCGTGTCTTCATCTTGCGCTGCTGCTCTTCTTGTCGTTTGGCTTCTTCAGCAGCTCGTTGAGCGTTCTCTTCCTGGAGTCGAGCCAGCTTTGCCTCCATTTCTATCGCGTTCTGAATATCTTTCTGCTGGCGAAGCTTGATCTTTGCAAGTCGTCGCTCTTCTAGTTGCAGCAGCGTCGAGCCAGCCAGAGCTTCCGGCTCCTCCGAGTTCCCTTCCCAATGCCTCGCAGACTGCAGACGTCGAGGTGGGAAACCTGGAGCCACTTGCTGCTGCAACATTGGAACTGGGCTTGTGTTCCCCGTTCCAGCCAGTAGTGCTGTGGAAGGCGGCGCTGGTCCCAAGCCGTTGATAATTGCCTCGCGTTCCGCTCGCACAGTCTCCACTTTCTGCTGACGTAGCTGTTCGAAGTGCTCGTGACGAAGCACCGCCGCCTCCTTCTCCACCAAAGAATACTTGCGACTGACGCCTTGGTCCAGAAACTCCACTACCGTCTTGGGGAGCAGCTCGCTCGGTTTAAATCCCATGCGACGACACGCTTCCAAGCTTCGAGGCGAGTTGATACGCGCCCCCGTTGCGACACAATCGAGGATCGTCACATTTTTGCTTTCACGCTTTTGCGCCTCCCATCCAGATCCCCCAGACCCCTGCATACTAACAACACAGGTGGGGATTCACTCGAAGCTGCAGATTAGAACTGCCAGTTTTCTAGTCGACAGCAGCACACACTACAAATAGGCCACTCACTCCCTCCCGATAGAATTCTAACCATCTTGTTCAGAGGTATAAAAAAAAACTTACGAACAGTCCAACGATTAATTGTCTAGTTGCGTTTCTTCTTCTTGCCACGACGTTCACGACCCTTCTGTGCGTTGGGGTTCATGCGGCCGTAGCCCACCTGAATTCCTGTCTGCTTCTCGGCCTTGACGCCCAGATCGTGCGCTACGTTCTCGCCGAACGCGCTCTGCATGACCTTCTTGTGCTGACGCTGACGCTGGCCCCAGATACCGACCAGAAGCTGATCCTCACGCAGCAGCAAGTCTCCATTTCGACCGCCCTTGGGCTTGGGCAGGGAGAACTTGGTGCCTGAAAGCTTCGTGGGGCGATTCGCTCGCGTGTAGAACGTCATGTGGCCGTCACGGTCGAGACTGTACGACACGCGCTCCATCGTGCTGTTACCGCACTTGGGACAGAACATACGATCCATCTCGGTGGATGTCGTGAAGCAAGCGATGCAGCGCAAGATCCACTGCTTCACGCGCTTGATGATCATTCCTTCCGTCGACAGAAGACGCAGTCCAATCTGCAGCATCACGTTCTGCATGGAGAAATCCGTCGTGATGCACGCAACAGGCAGTCGAGACGAGATCTCCTCGAGTCCTTTGCCGTCTCCGAATGGAGAAGCTGTGAACTTGGCGAAGTTGTCGCCAGTGATCCAGTTCTTGCCGTCATCCTCAGCGGCACCAGCGTTGCTGGACGCTGCGAACCCTCCCATAATGCGCGACTTGACGTCAGCGTTACGGATCTCCTCGCTGATCACCTGTTCGACCACCGGTTCCTCAGCTTCCTCGTCCTCGGTGGGTTCCTCACTCTCCGTCTTCTCTTCGTGGACGAACGAGCAGTCGTCGCCGTACTTGCAGCCTTCGGGGGTGTTAAAGAAGCGACACGGAATGTCGACCTTCTTTCTGGGAGTCTCAGCGCCATCCTCAGCACTGGCAGCGGCCGCTTCGTCGTGTGTAAATCTGCACTCGTCTCCGTACTTACAACCCATAGCCGTGCCGAAATATTTGCACGGAATGTTGGTCTGCGAACCACCGACGATCTTGCCATTGGCTGCACGCGTGACAGTCTGTGAGAGCTTAGGGCTGGTGCGCAAATGGTCGGCACCGTTGGCCTCGACCTCCAGTTGATAGGACAGCGCCATGACACGCAGATCCGTGAGCGAGAGGTACGTAAAGTCTCCAGTCTTGCGCGAAAAGTTGACAACAGCCTTCATGGCCTCAGCTGACGGCTCACGAGTCTGCAGAGTGAACGGGAGTCGCTCCAGAATGGCACGCGACTTCTTATCGCGGATCTCGTCCAGCACATCAGGGACTGTCCAGAAATTCTGCCAGAGGAGAGAAAAGCATGACCCGTGGTGAGTTTTTCGATGCAATTTCGAGTGGTTAGCGGTTATCTTCTCTGCTTTATGGTTAAACAACTTACTTCGGCTAGTACGGCCAGGTTAGTGCCCTTGATGATTGCACCAGAGTCGATGACCAAGTGAAGAACCTTCTTCTTCGTCGTCTTAGAGGGTTCCGGAGCTGCTGGGGCTGCTGCAGCTGCAGCGTATGAGAACGCAGGAGTACTGGGCTGCTCTGCAGCCTTTGGGCTCAGCGTCGCGGCCTCCACCGCTGCTGTAGCCTCAACTCGTTGGTCCGCCATCAAAGTGATATGCCAAATGGCTGCACCTCTTGATGCCAACCAAAGTGATCTGTTTTCCAGCCAATAGAGTGTCGTCAAATGTTTTTGCACCAATCGACAAGCTGATTTATTGTCCAGTGAGAACGTCGTAAGAATGTTCTATTTCTGCGAATGAATTAGACAGGATCTTGACAGCTAACTATTCAACATGGGGGAGCTGCTGTGTTTTCACCCCATTTTTACGATACAAAAGCTGACACCCGGTCCCTCTTGAAGCGAAGAGCTGGTCGTGCTCCGCTTTCACATACCAAACGCAAGTGAAAGATCGCCAAAAGTCGATCGAAGATCTCTTCCAAGCAGCAGCCATGGCGCATGTGTTCGGCGACAACGAGAAGGAGTCCGACTTCGGCTACGTGTACAAGGTCTCAGGCCCGCGTACGTGGCTCTCCCCCTTACCCCTCGTCGTCTCCTGACGCCGTTTTTTAACCTTCTTCCTGTGCTGCAACAGTGGTGATCGCCGAGAACATGCATGGCGCTGCCATGTACGAGCTGGTACGCTGCCGATTGGGTGTTAAACGACCTTGTAGCTTCATTAGATGACCGAGGCTTGACTTGTTGTAGGTGCGTGTGGGCCACGACAAACTCGTGGGCGAGATCATCAAGCTGGAGAACACGAATGCCTCCATCCAAGTGTACGAAGATACGTCCGGTCTGACGGTGGGTGACCCCGTGGAGCGTCGCAAACAGCCTTTGTCAGTGGAACTGGGTCCTGGTATTGTGGACAACATCTTCGACGGTATCCAGCGTCCTCTGCACGCCATTAGCGACCTCACCAAGGACGTGTACATCCCTCGTGGAGTGGATGTGGCCTCGTTGAACGCCGACAAGAAGTGGCGCTACAAGCCTGTGAACTTCCGTGAAGGAGACCCCATCTCCGGTGGCGACATCTTCGGTCTGGTGCACGAGAACGACATTTTGCACTCGCACAAGATCATGTGTCCGCCCAATGTCTTCGGTACTGTGGTCAAGATCTACGGCTCTGGCACCGACAACAACGAGCAGTTCACCCTCAAGGACACGGTCCTTGAAGTGCGCGACGACACGACTGGGACCACCCACAAGCTCGGACTCTCGCACATGTGGCCCGTGCGAAAGCCACGTCCAGTAGCCGAGAAGCTCGCCGGTAACGTGGCCTTGACCACAGGTCAACGTATCATTGACGCGCTGTTCCCTTCTGTGCTGGGAGGAACGTGTGCTGTGCCTGGAGCTTTCGGCTGCGGCAAGACTGTCATCTCTCAGGCTCTGTCCAAGCACTCGAACTCGGACGCTATTGTGTACGTGGGCTGTGGCGAACGTGGCAACGAGATGGCTGAAGTGCTCAACGATTTTCCTGAGCTCACGATGACTATCAACGACCGTGAAGTGCCCATTATGAAGCGTACGACGCTGGTGGCCAACACCAGTAACATGCCTGTGGCTGCTCGTGAGGCCTCGATTTACACGGGTATCACGCTGGCCGAGTACTTCCGTGACCAGGGGATGAACGTGTCGATGATGGCCGACTCGACCAGTCGGTGGGCTGAGGCTCTGCGTGAAATCTCGGGTCGTCTGGGTGAAATGCCGGCTGATAGCGGCTACCCTGCCTATCTGGGAGCTCGTCTGGCTGCGTTCTACGAACGTGCTGGTCGTGTGGCGTGTTTGGGAAGCCCCAAACGTGAGGGTAGCGTCACTGTGGTGGGTGCCGTGTCGCCCCCTGGTGGCGATTTCTCGGACCCTGTGACGGCTGCGACTCTGAGTATCGTGCAGGTCTTCTGGGGTCTGGACAAGAAGCTGGCTCAGCGTAAACACTTTCCGTCGGTGAACTGGCTGATCAGTTACACAAAGTACATGCGGGTGTTGGAGCCCTTCTTTAACAAGATCGACCCAGAATACTCGACGCTGCGTACCAGATGCCAGGAAATCTTGCAGAAGGAAGACAATTTGACAGAAATCGTGCAGTTGGTCGGCAAGGAGTCGCTGTCCGAGGATCAGAAGGTGATCATGGAAGTGGCCAAGATCATCCGTGAGGATTTCCTGCAGCAGAACGCCTTCTCGGACTACGACTTCACGTGTCCATTGGTCAAGAGTGTGGGGATGCTGCGATCGATCATCCTGTTCTACAACTTGAGCCAGAAGGCCATCGCGGACTCGCCTCCCGACGCCAAGGTGACGTGGGCACAGATCAAGACGTCCATGAACCCGGTGCTGCAGAAGATCATCCAGACCAAGTTCCAGTTGCCCAAGCAGCCAGAGGCCGAGCTCAAGGCTTTCTTCAGTGGCTTGGACGAGGAGGTGGAGCAGGCGTTCCAGACGCTCTCAGACTAATGAGTACAGGTCGTCATGGGAGTATTGGACGCGCAAAGCATTTGCATTACGTTCGAGTAATTTGTTGATTAACTCGGACCATTTGGTTAATTTTTGGATTAAACCTCCTCTATGATTGGGTCTACTCCATAAACAGCTGCGACATCTGATTCGCCATAATTTCGTCACTAAAATAAACAAGTCAGACGTTACTTTGGCATTTGACCTGTGCTCCGTGAGTGAGTTGCATCATGGGCAATAAACCCTCCTCTGAGCATGGGAACCCGCACTCGAGAGACGCCCCGCTCCCCACGCGTCTAGCGCCCAAGTACCAGCGACGCAAGGGCGGAAATGGGTACGTACGCAGGCTGTATCATAATGCAGACCTTGGGCGCAATAGATCACTGACACTTCACGTAATCTGCAGCAACAGCAAGTCGTCTCAGCCCACAGCCAGCGAGCAGCGAACAGGTAGAATGCAGCTATTGAAGTTGCAGCAATGTAAGTTGCAGCAATGCTGACGTACGGGGACTGACACACACTCGTTATGTTGCAGCTCCACCTCCCCAGGAGGCACCTCCTCCTTCTCCGTCCAGTTCGACAGCGTCTACTCCCACCGAGGATCAAATTATTTCCAATTGGAAGCTTTTCAACGACCTCGAGAACCGAGAGGAGGCCGAAGTGGTGAGTTGCCAGCCAATGCTTTAATTCTTTTTATACAAGTTGGATCTGATTTTTGTCTTTTGCTGTTTGCGTAATTCTGCAGTTGGAGCTGTCACTTTTCTTGGATGCACTCGTGAACTACATCCCCGGTCTGGACGACGGCAAGCAAAAGCCGACAGAGCCCCACCCAGTGTCCCAACAGGACATGGGCAACATCGATATCGCCAACATGTACGTGCAGGGAGACGAGCTGGACGAGGTTATCACACTCAAGAACGTGGAAAGCCTCATCGACTCGTGTCGAAATGGCCGCAAGATCCCACGTAACGTCGTGGTGCGTGTGATTAATGAAGCCATCGTGCTGTTCCGCAAGGATCCGACTATGGTGGAGTTCCACATCGCTCCTGCGAACCACATCACCATCATCGGAGACTTGCACGGACAACTGGACGACTTGCTGCTGATCCTCCGTGAGAACGGGCTGCCATCCGAGAGCAACCCGTACTTGTTCAACGGAGACTTTGTGGATCGTGGTGACCGCGGCGTGGAGATCGCCGTCATCATTTACCTCTTCAAACTGCTGTACCCACGGCACGTACTGCTGAACCGTGGCAACCACGAAGAGAACTCGATCACTCAAGTGTTTGGCTTCATGAAGGAGTGCGAGGTCAAGTACGACCGATTCGTGTACGATCTCTTCTGTGAGAGCTTCCGCTATCTCCCATTGGCCACACTCATTGACGACCGTGTGCTCGTGGTGCATGGAGGAATTCCTCGTGAGAATATTCTAGTCAAGGACCTGAACACACTGGAACGTGCTGGATACGATCTCACGCGATACCGCACAAAGCCCAAGAGCCGCAAGGACCGCGAACCTCATCGCAAGATGCAGATCATCCGCGACTTGTTGTGGAGCGATCCGAAGGCCTCCAAGGGCTACGAAGAGAACAAACGTGGCGCTGGTACAATCTACGGTCCTGATATCGTGCAGAAGTTCATGACCAAGAACAAATTGGCTCTGGTTGTGCGCTCCCACGAGTGTGTCCCGCGGGGTTTCGACTGGCCATACAGGGAGAAGGGGATGCTGGTTACGCTGTTCTCAGCGTCCAACTACTGCGGTAAAGCCAACAACCTGGGCTGCTTTATGCGCGTCCCTTCTGGCAAGGACAAACCTGCCTTCTTCCAGTACATGGCGAGTGCCGAGAGTCGCGACATGGCCGTGTCCAACCTGGATGCTCTCTTCTCGCTCATTATCCAGTACCGAGCTGACTTGGTAGCGGAGTTTGAGCACTTTGACCAGGAGAAATCGGGTAAGCTCGCAGTTCAGACGTGGGGCACCATCATGGAGGACGTGCTGGACTTGTCGTTGGACTGGAAAGCTCTTCAGCCGTTGCTGACTGCGCTGGATGAAGAAGGATTGGTGCCCTACTACGACTTCTTGGACCGATACAACGCGGAAGGAGCAGTGAAACGCTCTGAGAGCGAGGAGAAGGCCGACCCGGAGCGTGAGAAGCAACGAAGCGCCTTCAACTCGCTGTACCGACATCGCTCTCGTCTTGAGGCTCTCTTCCGTGTACTGGATCGTGACGGCAACGGTACAATTTCTGTGGACGAGTTGGAGAATGGTATCAAGGTGTTGAACGAGCATTTGCCTCCTGGAACGAAGCCTTTCAGCACCAACGGTATGGACTACATGCGTATGATGGACTTCAGTCACGACAACGAGATCAACATCAACGAGTTCATGGAAGGATTCCGTATCAACGCCAAGCTCACAGTTCACGCAAAGTGGAAACGCGCCAAAAAGAAGATTAAGGCGCTCAGTGCCATCGGTGCATTGCGTGGGTTCTCACTGCCCAGTAGCGCTACAGCAGCTGCGTCTGGTGGATCGGGTGGTGTAGTAATAGCCACCCTCGACGAGGCTGACGAGCTAGCAGAAGCCAATCTCAACTCTCCTGTGTCGGATCCGGAGCTTATGACAGTTCCGAATGCCTCTGCACCCCCGAAATTCACCCGACATGGCAGTGTACAGATCATCGCTCCGTCTGCTGCAGTGACTGCGCCCATGGATCTCAACGACGTTGAAGTGGATCTCGATGAAGGCGCAGAAATTGTCGAGGAACGCAAGTAAACAGTGCAAAGCTGCATTAGAAAAAAATGTCATTTTGCTGTATACACGTATACCATAGTCTTTTTTTTGTAAATGTTATCGTCCATGCGCTGAGTACATGTATATGAATTGTCCAGGTGGCCATCCATGTATTGTCCAGGCTGTAAAATTACCGACCTGAAAATTATAAATTACGGGTTGTGTAAAATACATGTATTATGCATGTAAAATGTCCATGCTTCTCAACGATTTTGAGGGCTACCACAGCCACTCACTTCACTTTCGATAAGCCGGAGCTTCCGGTACCGTCGTCGCTGTGCACGTCGTTGCCGCCCTCCCCCGCTCCGATATGTCGGATAGCAAGTCTGAAACTCCCCCACTGGAGCCTCCCGCGCCCTCTTCACTGCCGACGCCGCCATCACCGGCCTCAGAAACCGCGACAGGTCAGCCAGAGGTGCGTTGCATAACTACCTGATCTCATACGTATGTCGGTTTTGCTAACTACGTGCCCTCAACAGGCTAGCTCGAGCGAAGAGGCGTCAGATGCTGCTCCTTCCGCTCCTATCGAACTCTGCAGAAGGCTCTGAGAACTCCGACGAGTCGGGCACCGACAATGCGGAACGTCCATGCAGCGTCCAGGTTTCAGATTGTCCAGTGCCTGTTTGTGCCCCGGAAGCCCTTCACTCAAGCTGGGCCGACTGGGCGGTCTATTTGAAGAAGTACGCATCTTCAACGCGGCAGATCATCCGAGTTTCCATGACTGTGAGCTGCGACTTGCGGAACAAGCGGCTGGCTAAAACTGTCGCTGCACGAGAAGGTCTTGACGTACCATACGTTCCGACCCAGTGGGCAACGTACCAGCGCACATATATTTGTACGCATGGGTGGCGGACGAAGGATCGGAGCACAGGTGTGCGGCCGAAGCAGTTTGTTCGTGGCACTGGGTGTCCTTTTCGGTTCGTGGTTTAATTCGTGGAAGAGGAAGGCCAGTGGCTGCTTCGAGTGAGGAACGGGATTTACCACCACAACCACGTCGTGGGTACCGCCCACTTCAAAACTTACGCAGAGAACCGAAAGTTGGAGGATTCTGAGACAAGGTCCACCGTGCGCGAAATGGTGAAGTACGGTCGCAAGCGCGCTCGTATTTACGAGTACCTGCTCGACAAAGGGGAAAGCCTGGTTAAGAAAGACGTGGACAACATTGTCCAGCGTGTCAAGGCCGAGTTTCGAGGCGGACTCGACGATGATGATACCTGCGCACAAGCACTTACCGAGTTTGCAGCGATGGATGGCAACGTGGCGACTGTGGACGAGACTGACGCTGGGCACTCCGGTGTCATCAGCATGACTTCGAGGCACCAGCGAGACATGACCGTACGCTTCCCCGAGTTGTTGCTAGTGGATTGTACTCACAAGACCAACCGGTAGGTTATATCTATGTATTGTCTAGGTATTGTCCATGTATTGTCCATCTATTGATCTTTATCTCATATCAATCTGCTCGTGTGTTCTAGGTACAACTACCAACTGTGTAGATAATAAGATCGGCGAAAAGGTGCAAGTTATCATGGTCGATAAAGGCTTGCAAGAGATTCGCGTACTGAAGAAGTACTCCCCCAAGGCGCGTGTGTTGATCTGCTTCTTTCATGTGATCAAGTACCTGCGCTCAGCTTCCAGAAAGCCTGAGTATGGGCAGATCTCGCAAGATGATCATGATGCAATCGATACACTCGTGCATAATATGGTGTACTCCGTGAATGAAGACATATACACAAAGAATTGGGAGTCGATGAAGACACTGTGCGCACAGGTACGATTCAATAGCTTTCTGGAATACATGGATGAAAACTGGAATGAATGTACAGACATGTGGGTCATGTACAAACGGGCTCGGCTTGCACATTTGCGCGTCCACACTAACAACCACTTGGAGAATTGGTTCGGCCACTTTAAGGATTCGGTTACCCACACAATGTCGATGACTGAAACGATCAAGGCTCTCGTGGGAGCTGACGCACGAATGTCTAGTGAGTATTTGTTCCGCAAGAATCGCGTGGGACTGCGAGTAAACCGAAACTACGATGAAAAGCTGTGTCAAGTGCTGCGGTTTACGACTCACTTTGTCGCAGAGCACGTTCAGAAGGAGTATTTGATGGCCATGTCCAAGGCCGAAGTTTTCGTCTACGATACGGTCTCCAAGCCTGGCTTCGTGGAGGTATCTGGAAAACACAAGGAGCATTATGTGGACTTGTCAAACTGGAGCTGTTCGTGTTCCTTCGCGTGTGCTATGCGTTTACCCTGTCAGCATGCTATCGCCTACCGAAAGTGGAAAAAGGTGTCCGGAAGTGTCATTCCATTGAGTCGGATCCATGAGCGGTGAGTAGCTGAGCCTATGGCGATGTCCATGTACTATCCATGCATCGTACATGTTTCGTCCAGTAATTAGCATGTCGTGCTGGCATTCCCTTCGATACGAATGTGTACAGGTGGTTACATCCTGCAGAGCTAGTGTAATGGGCCCAACTCCAATTACATAAGTAGGTAGATACTTCTTTAGTTATTACATAAGTAGGTAAAGTGGCACACGGGTAGCGTGTGCCAAAGTGTCATCATCTGATTGGTTGATAGTGAGGAGCCAGACTCACTTATTGATCTATCAGATATAGACATGTGTTTGAGTGGTTCACACGAGGCCAGGGGTAGCCGCCCTGGTCCTAAATAAACCAGAGTTGAATTTGACACAAACCTAAGACTTGGTTTTATTATTGCGAGCTTCCTCCGCACTATAGTGTAAGCTAGTAACGGTATCTCTTACCCCGTTACACCTGGTAGCACTTAGTAGTCCTTCCAACGACCAAGTCTACGATGAGCCAAGTCCAGATCTCCGGGGCGACCTTGGAGCATGCTGCATTCCCCCATCTCACTCGCGTGGAGTAGGAAGCGCTTCACCGCCTCGTGGCGGTGTCCGGAGACGCTGTCGTCGCATCGCTGCTGAGCTCAGCGACGCCCGACCAGCAACGTCTTGCAGCACAAGAGTTCATGGAACGCGAGCTCGCCGATGCGAATCGGCGGGTGTCAACTCCCTCGCGTCCATCCCAGAATGACGTCGTCAAGATGGAGACGTCTACGTATTCTGGCGCCGGGTGAAAACCGGCTTCCGCTAAACCGGTGGTTCCGCAATATCGACATCGCTATCGCCTCGCGACGCATCGAGGCGTCATCGGCCAAGATGAACTTCCTCCTCTCCCGGTTAACCGGGAAGGCCAAAGAATGGGCCCTCGGGAAGCTGGTTGTCGACCCCGAGGCTTTCTCGACTCTAAAAACTCTCCAGAGCGACTTGCGCCTCGCGTTCGAGCCCCCGCAAGATGAGTCTCGCGTTCGCGCAGAGTTCTTCGCTCTGCGGCAAGGGCAGATGTCCATGCGTGATTACGTCCAGAAGACGCGACATCTGGCGTCATGCATCGTGACCAAGCCAATCGACATGGCCTCGCAAGTCCACGTATTTGTGTTCGGCATGCGCGAGGGTATGACCCGCTACTGCCTCACCAGAGCTGAGCCCTCCTCTCTCGAGGAGGCGTTTGCACTCGCGATTCGCGAGGATTACATGGTCGCTGCATCGTACGCCGCAGCCATACCTGCGGAAGCCCGAGAGTCTACCCCCGAGCCCATGGAGATCGACGCCATCAACGCGTCGAGCAATCGACGTCGCGGGTCCTACCGCGGCAGCGCTGGGCGAAGCAATCGCCCCCTCATTTGCTTCCGCTGTGGGAAGAAAGGTCATCGCGCGGCAAAGTGCGCGCGCCAGCTCCCGTCGTCTCTCACGTCGACGCGGAACACTCCTCGGTCGCTCATTCAAAAAACGACCAGGACCAGTAGGTGCGGGGCGCCCTACTGGCTTTAACGAAGGACCGGGCCCTCCGGTGGCAGCCCAACCTTCGAGCCCTCCCGTGCTCCAAGCACACACCAATGCCACCACTACGCCGGGCGACTCGAGACTGATCATCGTCAGCCTCCACGTCACCGGTGCCCGGCGACCACTGCGCGCGCTCCTTGACTCAGGAGCGACCAACAACTTCTTTCGCGCGTCGTGTTTGTCGGTACTACCCAAGAACGTCCGCGTCCGGAATGGTACGGGCGAGATCCAAGTCAAACTCGCAGACGGTAAGGCTCGCCGCGTTGCGCGGCGTGACGTGTCTTTGTCGTACACGTTCGACGGCTTCCGTAGCAAGGACGACTTCTTGGTGATCGAGATGAACTACGCGTTTGACTGCATCCTAGGCATCCCTTGGCTTGCGCGATATCAGCCAGAGATTGACTGGCTGGCCCAATCAGTCAAGCGTCGACGTGGATTCGACGTGGCGAGGTCTTCACACACCTCTTGGTGGCGCCAAGAGACTGGCCCCACGTCACAGTCGTCGACAAAACAGCAACGACACAAGCAGTGCACAGAGCGAGCGATGGCCCTCTCTGCATGGCTTGTGCTACATTGTTGAACGAAGAGCCCTCACGGTTTCGCGAGGTAGATGATGAGGTGGTTGAGCAGCGGCTCCCACAGTACAAGACGGTGGTCGAGCAGGGGCTTCCACAACACGAGATGATGGTCGAGCAGGGGCTCCCACAACACGAGACAGTGGTCGAGCAGGGGCTCCCACACAACGAGACGGCGGTAGAGCAGAGGTTCCCGCCGAACGATTCAAACCGGAGCCCTTACGTAGGACCTCCACAATCAAGTATTATTGGGTCAGAGTCGGCAAAATCAAACAGTATTATTGGTCAAATATCATTTTATTTAGTGGCCTGGCATTAGCAATTCAACTTCAGCTCGTCCTCAAATCCCACCCG